GCAGTGCAGAAGGGAGTGGGGTTTATTGAGAGGAGAAGGAGAAGGAGGAGAAGGAGAAGGAGAGGAAGAGGAAGAGGAAGAGGAAGAAGAAGAAGAAGAAGAAGAAGAAGAAGAAGAAGAAGAAGAAGAAGAAGAAGAAGAAGAAGAAGAAGAAGAAGAAGAAGAAGAAGAAGAAGAAGAGGGAGGAGGTGTTGTTTCCCTGAAAATAAGACCTTATCTTATATATATTTTTTCCACCAAAAAAGCACCAGGTCTTATTTTCAGGGGTGTCATCCACCAACTAACTCACTTGCGCGTGTTACCTCTGGCCTCCTTTTCACTGTCTTAGACCTTCAGAAACTTCTGTAACCGGCAAGGCTTTCCTGAAGGCCTCTGCAGCCAATAGCAGTTATCAGCTACAAAGGCCTTTAGGAAATCCTTGTTGGCTGCAGAAGAAATGGGCCGGCAAGTCAGGTGTTGGGGTGTGCGAGGCCTGGCTACAACTGTCCAAAGGTAAGTAGAAGGCCAGCTCTACCTCCCCCGCATCCCCACCCTAGCTTAATTTTTACCCGTGCACTCTGGAGTGGGCAGGATCTTAATTTGGCCTTATTTGGGGGTGGGGGTGGTAGGGCATGTGTAAAAAAATCAAGCTAGGGCTTACTTTCAGGGTAGGTTGTATTTTTGGGGAAACCGGGTAGTAGTACTGTGGCGGCTTTGGTGCTCTCTGATCTTGGTGGTTTTCTTGCAGACATTTCATGACCCAGCTAGGTAACAGCATCAGTGCCAGAAGGTAGTGGGCTTTGATCTGTGTTTATATACAGGAGCTTGCCCTGTCAGTGTTGGTGGGAGGGTTCTTGGTGGCTCCTAAGTAGAGATCAGGGTTAATAGTATACCTAGAACCAAGTTGTAAACAACACCTCAAATCAAGGAACTACCAACTCAGAAAAATAAACCATCAAGCAGTAAACAGCAGCTGAATCAAGGAATCATCAACTTTGAAGGCTAAGCAACTGGTTATAAATTAAGCATTACCTGTGATTGCACCGAGGGAAGCAAAGCCAGATTATAATAGGGGCAAATTACAATTTACCTACTTTTTATAAAGTGATTTCTTGAGACTGTTGGCCCTAGCAGTTCATATCTTCAGCTTTACATATTACAAGAGATTCATGCTTGCAGGGGGCAGTGCAGAAGTCTGCAGAGAATTAAAATTTAAATCTGCTAGTACCAAGGTCAAAATACATAAACAATCCACACACACACACACACACACACACACACAATAAGAAAGAATAACACAAACTCCAGTAAGCCTTGGGGTTTTTTTCGCTGTCTTCTTTGTCATCGTTGGATAATTTATTATAAATGTATTCAGGGTGAAAGTTTCCGCAATAGAGTTTTGCTCAGGAAGTGGGAACAAGCTTTCAGGATATCCTTTTTCCGCCCCAGAATAACCAATACTTTCAATTTTATATACAGCGGAAGCAATTAATTGCAAGAGAAGCCCAGCTCAGTTTCCTGTGGCTTTGCGTGCAACGGCAATCATTGTTTAAAGTTTGGAATTGCTTTGTGATTTTTGAAACTCCGTTGCGCTGATTATTATTATTTTTTAATGGACATTGCAAAGGTTGATTTTTTGGGGTTTTATCACCCTTATTTCTCAACACAGGCACTCAAGCAGAGTGAGGGAAAGATGCAGAATTTGTCATTCATTGTCTGAAAACCAGGCAAAACCTTTAGTTAACGTAGCAGAATCCCACTGTGTTTTGCACGAACTAAATCCAATTCAGTGAATATAAAATGTCCCTAGGATTTCTGATCATTTTCTCCCTGCGCTTAACGTTGCTTTACCAAAGGTGTACCTGATACAGGTAGTCTTCAATACAACAATTCATTTAATGACTATTCAAAGTTACAATGGCACTGAAAAAAAAGTGACTTACGACAGTTTTTCATGCTTACAACTATTGCGGCTGCCCCATGGCCGGTGATTCAAATTCAGACGCTTGGCAATTGACTCATGTCAGTTTCAATGTCCTAGGGTCACCTGATCACTTTATGCAAACTTCTGGCAAGCAAAGCCAATGGGGAAGCCCAGGGTTGGGATTCTACCGGTTTGGACCAGTTCTATACAACTGGTTGTTTTGATTCTGTGCAGTTTGGAGAAGTGGAAAACCGTGCCCCTGGCTGGCCCCTCCCCTCCCCGCCCAGTCAGTCCTTATCACGTATGTGCAACATTTCGCGCATGCCCGACATCGCTGACTGTGTTCTTCCCCATACAGTCACTCCTTAAGGTATTTCTTTTTTTCCCCTTCCCAACGATCAGCTGTTCCTATGATCAGCTGTGCTGGGATTTGCCTTGTTTACTTGCTGCTTCTCACAGGAGGCTTCCCTGAAGCCCAGAAGGCCCCAAAAATTTGGGGGGGGGGTTGTTTGCTGCCAAAAAAGGCCACACCCACTCAGTCACATGGCCACACCCACCTACCCAAGCCTACAGAACTGGTTGTTACAAAATTTGAATCCCACCCCTGGGGAAGTCAGATTCACTTAACACCTGTGTTCCTTGCTTTAAAAATGTGGTGATTCAGTTAAGAACCATGGGAAGAAAGTTCGTAAAATGGGGTGAAATTCACTTAACAACCAACTCGCTTAGCCACAGAAATTTTGGGCTCATTGGCAGTCGTAAATTGAGGACCACCTGGGCAATTTGAAAAATGCTTCGGATGCAAATCATTGCTGAATTAGGTACAGATTACAGATTAACAGAGTTGGAAGGGACTTTGTAGGTCATCTAGTCCAACCTCGCCCCCCCCACCCACCCAAGCAGGAGACCCTACATCATTTCTGACAGATGGCAGTCCAGTCTCTTTGTCAGGATTCCGGCAGTTACCCCCAATTAAATCATGAGTCTCGAGCCAAACTTCTAAAGGATTTATTGGGAGTTAACATGTCAGGTGCTGCTTGGGTGTAGCCGACTTTGAGACACATCATTCATTGTCACCCTTGACCCTGGTTTTCCCCCACCCCTCTGGGTATATCATAATTCATATTCTCCAATGGGACACATCCATAGCCAAGAGTCATCAATCATGTTCTCCAGTTAGAATTTTGCACGACAGAAACTTCAGTCACCTAGTTACTATCTTTGAAAACTATTTATGGAATGCACTTTTGATTTCCACGCTGACACACTGCTCCCACTTCCCTTTCTGTTGGCAAGTCTAAAAAGACCATAGAAATATTTTATGAGCTGACACTCTTCTTGAAAACCTCCAGTGATGAAGCTCCCACAACTTCTGAAGGCAACTTCTGCTCCATGGGTTGATTGTTCTCCCTGTCAGAAAATTTATCCTTATTTCCAAGTTGTATCTCTCATTGTTCAGTTTCCATCCATTGTTCCTTGTCTGGCCTAAAGGTGCTTTGAAAAACAGCTTGACCCCCTCCTCTCTGTGGCAGCCCCTCAAATATTGGAAGGCTGCTATCATGTCTCACTTGGTCCTTCTCTTCACTAGACTAGCCAGGCCCAGTTCCTGCAACCGTTCTTCATATGTTTTAGTCTCCAGTCCCCTAATCATACCCTAATGATCCCCTAATACAGGGGTCCACAAACTTGGCAACTTTAAGACTTGAGGACTTCAACTCCCAGGATGTGAGCTGAGTTGATTTGTGGATGCTGATCTTTAGAGTGTCTGAATGCTGCAACAAGTTCATTTCAAATGCCACCAGGAGACCATAGGAATCTTAAGAAAAATCCGAGATAAACACAATTTCAAAATAAAATTAAAAAAAAAACCATTGGGGTGGGAAACTGAACTCTAAGGGTTTGAAATCCTTCAGGCTCTTGAAAAGGGAACAGGCAACGGATTGTTTTTCTCAACAGACCTTCCACAGTGACATTTTATTCCACTGACAGTTAACATTTATACACAGTCCAAGGTTACCTTCAGTCAGTACTCATAAAGACAAATCATGGTGTTTCTTAAACCTGCTGTTTTTACTTACTGCTGGATTTCAAACACAAATTTTAAAAGAAGACATCTGGGGTGCCCGTTCCAATTAATTCCAGCTGTTCTCGTATTCCTTCAAAGGGGCAATTTGTCCAATAACAATCAATCAATCAATCAGAATAGAGCTGGAAGGGACCTTGGAGGAGACCCTATACCCATGGTGGCAAACCTATGGCAACGCATGCCGGAAGTGGCACGCAGAGCCATTACTGTCGGCACGCGCGCACTCACCCAGAAAAGTTCTACTGCACATGCATGTGTGCCGCCTGCCCGACAGCTGATTGTCGGGTGTCTGGTGTGCATGTGCGGGGGTACGGCGTCATGCAAGAGACATTCGCGCATGCACAGAAGCACATGGCTTGCGTGGGGGGGGGGGTCGCTCGCGCATGCGCAGAAGCACGAGTCACGCGGGTTGCGTGGGTTGTGTACGCATGCTCAGGAGGTATGGGGGGGCGCACGCATTGCCTTCTGGGTGATGGCATGCGAGCACGAACAGGCAAGCGCGTACGCAATTATCGGCACAGGAGCCCGAATAGGTTAGCCACCACTGCCCTGTACCGTTCCAGAGAAATGGCTGTCTAGTCTCTTCTTCAAAACCTCCATGGATGGAGCCACCCACAACTTCTGAAGACAAAGCTGTTCCACTCCTTAGTTTCCATCTAATCTTGTCCTGCCTTCAGGGGCTTTGGAAAATAGGTTTACCACAGTCTTCTGGAATACTGGAATACTGCTGTCATTTCACCCCCAGTCCTTCTTTTCTCTGGATTAGCCATACTTAATTCCTGCAACCATTCCTCATATGTTTTAGTCCCCAGGCCTTTAATCATTCTAGTTGCTGTTTCTCTGTACTTTTTCCAAAGCC